TACTTTTTTCTGCTTTAAATGCATACTCAATAGCTTATCCATTGTTTCTCTTAGAATACCTTGCTTTGTAAAATAATCAACTGTTATTTTGCAAGATGTTTCGGATATATCGGATTAAAAAACCGAAGCTTGATCGATCTAGTTCGTGTTTATCATAGAGATAGACAGGTCGATTTTTTTCTCTGAGCTTTGATCATCAAATTTTTAATATGCATAATGAACTTTAATCGTCTTTCATCTTGGTTCATAATGTCAAAGTTATTAGATGGAAAAAATCTGTTGATTTATCATTCAGACTCGTCTTTTTAAATTTCAATATCTTAAGATTGTAAAAATATTATTTGTTTTATGCATGATTTTATACCAATCTGTTAAGAAATAAAAGTACGGAATACATAATACAAAAAAACTTCAACTTAATTCTTCATCATATGTCTAAATTGAATTTTTTCTATACATATTAAATGATTTATCCTGTTCAATAATAATTCAATATTCACAAAAAACCATTTGTCCTATTGATGAGATTTTCAACCGATTTATTTATTTTTCAATGCATCGAATTATTGTTATATGAGACGAGAAAGAAATATTTATTATGTTTCGATAAATCAATTTTATTTCTACCGATAGTCCAGTTTGAGAAGACTATTAGGAGTTTATTTATAACCCCAGACAGAGAAGCTTTATTTGTTGACAGACAAGATCATTCTAGTGACAGCTTGTAACTATGCTCATCCTTTTCGTCATTGAAGTTGTGTTGTGATGTGTCAGATAGTCACATTCTGCAGATTTAAGGTCGTTTAATAAGCATTATTGTTTACGGTGGCGGTACAGTTACTTCTTCATTTTGCGGTTGCACAGCTATTTTCTAGTCATTTCCGATCATTTACGGATTGTTCTATATGACATGAATAGTGAAACAAAATCATGACAACTCTACTTTAGTCTTATTATAATAAAGAGTTTAATCAATTGAACTTAAAATAATATATTTGGTGAGTTAAGTATTAGTTTTATTTTTATAAAACAAATATATTTAAAAAATAATTTATAGTTCACTATTAACAAAATTGATTATTTACAATACTATGACATTTACCAAGTGATAACTAATGAGACAAGAATATAAAATAGAAGGCCATTCCATTATAGTTTACGTTAGTCAGAATGAGTTATATAAAATTTTATATTTAGTGTGTATATTTAGCATATCTCAACAGTTCATCGAAGAGAAAGAATTCACTTAAATATCTATTAAGATTGTAAATTATGAAGCCTTTTACTTGTAGTAGTTAATGTACATTTATTGAGCATATTGATTTTTTTTTTATTCTAGTTAGTTCTAGATACGATATGTCATAAAACAAGTAAATATCAAAATTAGATTTGAATGAAAATTCATTTTGTTATTTCAAGCAAATATGAGGATCATTAATAGTGATATTTATATCGATTAATATTTCATTGGTGTTGCAGTTTAGAGGCAATGAATTGATCCGAAGTTTAACTGATCGGTGACGTGTGAAATTTAATCTCTTCTACTTTTGAAACTCGACTAAACAGTCTCTCTCATTTATGGCACTTGATTTTATTACGGTTCCCTCTGCCTAGCGTACTGAATTA